TGAAAGGTTTTTGCATTACAATGGGAAATGCGTAGCCTTATTTGATAACATGGCGGTCGCTTATCAATTTTGATTTCTTAAAAAATCCTCGTCCTATTTATTTATTTATATATATATATTATTTTAAGGAACTTTTCCGAGTTTCTAAAAAAAAATCGTCTCTAACGTATGGAAATACGGTCTGCCTGTAAAATTAATTCTTTCTATTACCAAAATTCAAAACTGTATTTACTAAGGGGTAAAATAATTATTTAAGTCATTTTTTTATCTTAGTTTGAAATAATTAATCGGATTACAAATTAGAATTTTGAAATCGTGTCTTGGTCGGATCGAGGACTTTTCAGCTCTTCATTTTTAAAAAGAATGGCTCTGAACGGACAATTGAAGTGTCACAGTTTCTATTGCGTCTGTCCACTTCTTGGCAAAAGTCATTTATTAAATTTCACTCACTCCAAGACTTGAAGGAATGGTAAGGGGTATGGAGAGTTTGAATGGGAATGAGGTGTGCGATACACGTGATGTCAATAGGAAGTGGATAAAGTGGACTTGAAGAATTTAAGATTGTAATGTTCATGAAAGCATTCCTGCTGGGATCTGTTCCACAAAATGGCAGCTTTTCTTGGGGAAAAGTTGTCCCAATAGGACTTCATTCTTACATTTGGAATACGGGGAAAGTAAGGATTTTTCGACTCCTTGGAAGTGGCATGATGTGTTCTATAGAGAACGTTTTTTAAGTACAAACTGTCTTGTCTTTCTCTGAAGTCTTTTCCTCACTGTTAAGTTTGTTTGTTGTTTTATTCCCTTCACTTTGCCGCTTTTTTTATTACATTTTATATCTATCTACACTTTAACTGTTAAATAAAATTGAACTAAAATTTTAATAAAATCACTCTTTACGAGACTTTGCATCAATCTGTTTTAAAAGCTGTGACAAAATAATTAAAATATTAACCCTTGAACGGCAGCCATCATCAATTGATTTTTCAATGGAGATCAACGGATATAATCAATTGGTGATTTCAACGTTATTCGATTCGAAAACACTAATTGGAAATTGTAGGATTCATGAGGTTATGTAGTTTCTTGAAATATTTCCTGCAAATAAAACTGGAAGAACAAACCAAAGACCGTATTATGTCTGCCTACAGAATTCTCGAAAATAAGAGGCGAAAACTATGGATAACTTTGCGTAAACATGCACAACTCAATTGTGCATAGAAAAGTAATAGACTGTTAGAAATATTACATTTACGAACCAAACATGTTTTTTCCTGCACTTCTTTTTATGTAAAAAAAAAATTAAAAGGCGTGATTTTTTTTTTTTTTTTTTTATTATATAGGGAAAACAATATATAATGTTTGTTATATATGAAGAACAATTTTAGGGAAATCTATGACAGTGAAAAAGTTTTCGTGTGACGCGTTTCGTCCTTTAGAATTTCATTGGACTAAAAAGTGATGTTTACGTTGATGTGATTACATATGTGCATGAAGGAGAGGGGACGCTGAGAATTTTAAATTTAAACATTTTCTGCCAAACATCGATTTATTCCGATGAACTCATAAAAGAGGAAACGCGTCACGCAAAAACTTCGTCAGAGATTGCCAACGTTTTTTTTTTGTTTTTTGTTTTTTTTTTTATTTAAAAAAAAAAAATTAAAAAAACGGTGAAAATAAGCAATACTCTTTTAAAGAAAAAAAAGTTTACTTCTCTCTATATATCTGTACTACTATTATTTATTTTTTGGTGGGTGGGGGGAGCGTGACATTCCGATAACCGTTTTCCCTCAATTTCTGGGTAAACGGCTGAAGAATGGTAAATGAACTTACTTCTGCATATTTTTCTCTCCAGCGAATATAAGTTATTGGAGAGAGAATCAAAATTTGGAGCTTTCTGTATACGATCTTTAGTTCCTGTAATGCTTAGCAGCTCTGAATGACTGGTTCTTTTACCAATTCCAACGGCATATACTTTGATATTGTCCATTTTTCGGAGTAATTCAGCTTCTTTTATCGTCTCAGTTGGATTGTCAGACACGCCGTCTGTCAAGACTATCAAGATTTTATCTACCTGGGGTCTTCCGCCGTTTTTCGGCAAAAAGCTGTTCAGTCTAACGTACCTTAAAGCACCAGACGTGTTTGTAAGGAGGCCGTGGTAGGTGACACTGCCAATTGCTTTGATGAGGGTCTCTTTTTTCGTGTACTTGTTGAGCGGAAACTCTTCAATTACGTCCAAAGAGAATGTGATGACGCTCACTAAAACGTGTTCGGTGCCGATCTGAAACCATTTCACGACATTCTGCACGAAAGCAATCTGATTTCGAAAATCAAACGGTGATTGACTGCCAGAAGAATCCATCATGAATACAACATCGTTTTTACGGCAACCTGAAATCAAATACAAATTTATTAATTTGTAAAACTTCCATGATATTGTTTGATTAGCCCACATAGCATGATGAAAAAGACGCCAAACTTGACGGAAACAATTTTATCGTCTAAATGTTTGTTATTATTAAGAGGAAAGATCAAAGTATTTTGGGGGTATTTTTTTTTTTTTTTTTTTTTTACATTTTTCAATCGTTCCTAGCACGTCCGAAATTTTCGTTAAAAAGTCTTTTTTTTAGTCAGCAAAATTGATCATTTTTTTCATTTTATAAAACACTGGAAATCTACTTTGAAATTTTTTAAATATCAATTATCATTTTTTTCAAAACTTATTTTAAGAAAATCAGAAATTATGTTTATTTAAAATATTTTGAACCAAGTTTAACTTAGCTTCTGCGCCGAAAAGATGGAATTTGAAAAAAAAACAAAAGGTCATAAACTTTCGCGTCACTTGACAGGTGATGAATGACATTCCTTGAGGATAATTTGTTCTACGGAAGGAGAAAAAGTGAAATAACTTACATTTAAGTGAACAAATTATTTACCTCGTTATTTTTAAGGAAAACTTTCAGCGTTCTAATTTTTTTTTTTTGTACTTAGCTTTCGCCTTAGCTTTTAGTTTACGATGCTTTATGGAAAATATAAAGAACTTAAAATAACAAATTAAATTTCATAAGAAAGGTATCTGATTAATTTAATTGAAAATGAAGTGTACATAAAATATTATAATTTTATGTACATTTGCTGTGTCATTTGTATTTCCATTCATTTTATTATTAATTTTGATATTTCATTTATCGAAAAATGTCATAACTGAGATTAATATAAAAATAAGATCATATAAATTTCATAAGATGATACTGATACTTGTATACCCTTCTCAGTTGAAATTGAAAAATCAAATTAACTTCTCCCACGTGTTTCGCAAAAAAAGGCCTTAAAAGCGGAGAACAATTTAACTCAAATAACGCAACTTAATTGTATTCTGGTTGGTCTTCCGTACTTTATAATTACAGTCCGATTATAAACACAAAATTATATTTCTTAATTACTGCGGATCTTCTAATTAGTCAAAATGATACAATTTACAACCGCTAAAAAAAAAAAAAAAAGATCTATCTCATAAGGACACTTAGGAAACCCGATGCGGCTTTTAACTAATTTTATAATATTTTAACAACTTAAATGTAAAAATCTATTATAATTAATGAAAAACAAATAAAAAAAAATTTTTCATCGAGAAAAAAATGTATTGCTTTCAGAAAATATTGTCCATATTCATAAAAACAACTAAAAGCAGATAAAAGCATTTGAAATTAAATAATATCTTTGTTTTATTGAGTTTTGTATGTTACAATTCAGAGCTGATTTCCAGGTCGGGGGTCCAGTTAAAAACAAAAAAAAAACATGATTTGCTTTCCTCAAAGCCTTGTGCTTTTAACTATTGTAATCACTAAACACGATGCGATCGAATTTCTAGTGTTTTCATAAAATTAGTTATGGGGGGGGGTAATAAATATAAAAAAACATATTTCTGCCATGACTTTAATTAAAAAAAAAAAAACATATTTATAATAATTTCGATCATCTGTGAATAGTTCCTGAAAGTTTCATTAACATCCGACAATTATTTTTATTTTTGCAAAATTTTCCAATTTAATGTGTGTCATACCCAAAAAACGTGCTAAAAATTGTCTGTTATTTTACTAGTTCCGGTGATACAAAGAGAAACATGGTTTTTTTTAATCAAAATTTAGAATGTTCTAAAAAGAAGGAAAAATTTTTAAAATAATTTTTAAAAAATTTGGTCTTTCCCCTTAATAATAACATAAGGATTTAGACGTTAAAATTGTTTTCGGCAAGGTTGACATATTTTCATCAAGCTATGCTTTTTTTTTAGCGATTTCTTAGAGGTACCTATCTAATAGTTTGGATTTGGGGCGAGACCTTGTACAAATATACTTGAAAAAAAAAGTATCCTCCTCACCACCGACCATAGTAAAAAAAATATTTTACTAATATGCTACAAAGTTTGGGAAAAGATGATTAAGAATTTGGGCAGGACACTCTCCAATAATTACTTCACCCCTCTAAGTAGCAATAACAAAAAGCAGATTTCTTCCTATTTTTTTATATTGATAGAATTAACAAATCAAATTTCTTAGGTTAATCTATATTTAACAAAAAGTTACATTTATTTAATTCGGAAAAGAAACGATTTAAAATACATCGATCATCGCTCGGTAAAACATATCGATAGATGTTTGTTTGGATTTTGTCTCTGACTCCACATTTTTAAGTTTTAAATTTGCTAAGTTGTCCTTATGTGAGACTAAGAAAAACGTTAGTGAAACAACGTTAAACTTAATCTGTACTTAGATAAGTAACGACTTAAAAACATGAATTTCTGTGCGATCATTGTGTCGCATATGACACAAATCCATATCTTTATAAAGCTTAAAGATAGTTACTGGCAACTAAGAATGAAAAGGATAAGGGAGAGAATGAGAAGATACAGGCAAAAAGGATAATCTTAATTGCCAATACTCATGAAATTTCTACAGCTCCAACTACAAACAGATTCGTCTAATTTCTCTATTTGTAGTTATGGCTTGCGTCCATATCATGTTGAAACGCCGGTTACCGTACGATTACCGAAGTTAAGCAATGTCGAGCCTGGTCAGTATCTAGATGGGTGACCTCTTGGGAATACTAGGCGCTGCAAGCTTGGATGTGCGGATGGTGTAATGGATAATGTCTTGGAATTGTTAATCGGTGAGCCGAGTTTCAATTCTAGTTGGGTTCATTATATTCATATAAGCTCAAATACCCTTCGGAAAGGTATGAAAGCATCTCTTCTCCCACAAGCTATGGGTTAACTAGTAAGACTTGTATCGCTAAATCCTTATCTCACCACCACCACCAGAAAAAAGAAAATCTTACGATGTAAAAAAAATATTGTTGGCTTTAAATAACCTTCAAATTTTTGGTAAGTCACAGAAAACGAATCGCTCAATAAATTTTTAGTTATGACAATTTATATTATGCTTTTTTCCCCCCTTGAGATCAGTCGAATGTTAAGAGGAAAAGTGTTACAACTTACCTTGTCTTTCCTCACCTAATGCCGTGGCCATTAGGCTCAACATAAGTAATCCGAGGTACGACATTACTGCCTTACCAAAAACTGGTGCCAGATTCACAGGATGTCACGAGTTTATAGCGATAATATCGTAATCTTAAAAAATGGTTACTTATCTGTCAGGTAAGATAACTTTCAGTAAATAACTTGCGCATTTGTTTTATCTATGGTGTGTCATCAGGGTCGTGCAGGGTGGGTGGTGTTTCTCAAGGCTTCTGGCAGTGGGGAGGGTGACATGCGCAAAGCGTCGCTTTATATATCAGTGTTGTCTTTCCCATTCAGTCTTTTGTTTACATTCGTATGTTCCCTCTCCCTGTGATATGTCTATTCAGGACACGAGTCATCATGGCTCTCCACAATTTCCTATCCTTGTAGCTCTTAGTTTGTCTTTTCGTTGTCTCTCCCAATCCCTGTTTTATCATCCATTTACATAAACTTGTTCGGTATGTTATTCGCTTACTACTTCTGTCCCTCATTATGTCCTGTGACTGTCAAATTCTCCAAGCCCTCTTTCCTCATCTGTTTTAAATAATTTCAATTCTAAGTATGAGCGTTCTTTTTGGATCGATTTTCCTTTAAACTCGCATGTTCAGTCCATCCTACAGAATTTTGATTGATTATTGGTGAATATTTTTTTCTTCGATCATGCTTTCCAGTTAACTATCATTACACAAAAAGTGCGTCAAAGAGAAACCGAAAATGATAGTAAACGCGAATTCAGTAATTAAAGAAAAATAAGTCTACCTATTTGCATTTATAAACCCATTTTTACTGTTAACAAACCATAAAGATGTCCGAGTTACATACAGGTGAAGTTGATTGTCTTCAGAACCAATTCAGTACTGAGATGTAATTTTGGTCTCCTTGACGTTGTGTAGTGGTTAGCAAGCACGTCTCCCTAGAACAATTATAACTGAGTAGGGAGTTCGATCCTCACTGGTTTGCTTCTGGCGTCTCGGCTTTGGTCACTTTCCCACCAATGGATTCATGCTTCCATGTCCTCTTCCGTCAGTATGGCTGATGCAAGAGACTGACCCACTGGGACACCCCTGCGCTAATGTTCTCGGCTGACATAAAGTCAAAAGACTATATTGAAATCATTGCTAGGTCAGTTGCTAGAAAGTTGGTTCAGTGTCGTTTTAGATAATTTTTCTCTGCAGAATCTTTTACGTAATTCTAAGTCTACCATTCATCCTTGCTTAGAATATTGCTGACACATACGGGCGGTATTCCTGCTATTTATCTAGAACTCCTTCATAAAATCCAAAGAATCAGCAATATTATCGGCCCTGATCTGACATCTCGGCTTCAGTCACTTTCCTACTGCCGTAAAGTTGCTTCCCTTTGCCTTTTCTTTAAATACTTTCATGGTAATTGTTCGGATGAGCTCTTCGCTATAGTGCCTAGACTCTTTGGATTTAAGCGTAGTACAAGACTGACGACAAGGTCTCACCAATTTACACTTGAGCTGGCTAGATTTAACCATAAGTTCTATGCTAACAGTTTTTCTCACTTGTGGAACTCCATTCAGTCTCCATGCTTTGCAGCCAACTTTCATCTACAAAAATTTAAATGCCATGTCAATCGCTATCTACTGTACTCCTTGTTACTCTTCATCTGTTCTTGCTCTCTAGCAATTGTGTAATACTTCTTGCCAGTTTGTCCCTGGTCAATTCCGCCGTTGGAGTTGGTCATTCTGATCTGCGCCCCGCATAACTAACTTGTCCAAAAGTGAGGAGTAATGAGGTCTGTTTAAACACTGACCGATGTTCTCTTCGATAAATTCTTTGGTACTTTGCCTGGATATTCTTAGTGTTTATTTTACACCGTCGTTTCTCTTGCCGTCCCTTTTCCTCGTCTTGCTCAGAGCTGTGAGCTTATATCCTTTTGACCATGATCCAAAGCTCTGGTGCCAAATTTGGTCTCAAATAATGTCAAGAGTTTCTGCGCTAATTTTTTTTTATTTTTTTACACACATTATATATATATATATATATATATATATATATATATATATATATATATATCAGAAGTTATGCGTGGAGCTTCCCTGATTTTTTGGTAGTTTTCAGTCACAAATTAGTAGACTCTAGTCCCGCAAACTCTCGCCTTTTGCGGCCGGATTTAGTATTTTTTTCTCCCCACCTTTTTTTTTAATTTTATTTATTTGAGGGTTGCTTTACTGTTAGAGAAGTTCATAGAGAAAGAAATAGGTACGAATTTTAAAGAAAAGCGCAAATGCCTTATTTTAAATTGATTTTTGTTTTCTATATATAATTATTTTTATCGAGACTCACTACAATTCTTGAGAAAAATCATTTTCCAAGTTTCTTATATTTTCTAAGACTTGTTCATATTGTTCTCATGTTTACTGATCGAATAAGCAATAATGAAACAAACTTCAGACACTAAGATTTTTCAAAATTTAGTGCCTGCAATATTTTCAAAATCTAAAAGTCTACAACTTGCATTAAGCAGATTAATTGTCTATAAAGTTCTTTTCTTAGATAACTAAATAGTAAGGTTATGATATGCAGAGGTTTCTTTAATAATACGAAATAAACAATGGGAACTGTTATCGATAATTCTTTATCTGCAAACTATTAGGCATGAAATGAAAATGTAAAAAAGGAGTATGCTTAAACCGGTTGACTGTTTGCTATCGGTTTGAGCATGTCGCTTTGACCTTTCAGTGTTCACAGGAGGTCGTTTTCATAGTCTAATAGTCGGACGTGCTCTCGGGTAGCCTCTATGATTAGCGTGTCTGTGTGTGTTTCTCTCTCATAGCCTATATAAGGGAAGTGCACGGGCGTAGTTGTAGGAATCTGTGGCAAGCGAGTCGCGTCGATAATTGCCAGCACTCTGGTATATTTGTGTTTGTTTGAAAATTTGTCTTTAATTTGTTATCTCTGTGGAAACTGTTTTTCTGATACAGGTTAAACATCATTACAATGACACTCTCCCACTTCAAACTGGTGGCTCAAAAAATTTTAAAAATTCTGCATTATTGCTAAAGCAACCTATCACTATAATTGTCAAGATTTTTTTTAAATGTATAAATATAAATTTTCTGCTAAACCAACTTTTTAGACATTTATTTTCCGGTTCCGTTTCGAGCGTCATATTTTCCCGCTTTTTTAGTTGTCTGGCACATTCTATAAGCACCTGACATTTTCCAATTGTACCTATTATTTTATCCAGGGTTACAGTCTGTTCTCTACTCTAACCATTAAACTTTTCTATCCAGATCTTTTGTGGTAGGCTTTTGTAAGCCATTCTTTTATCTCCCACCATATGCGATTGTTAAATCACAATTTATTTATTGCAGATGGTGCGGGCACAGTTGGCAACCATTTCTGAATACAATATCAAAGAAGCCATATTCAGATTTTATTCCATATACATTATATAATGATCCGCCACAATTTAATGTTGATGTTTTTTGTTTCTGGTCAATTCAATGGATTTTAGAAGTTTTGTCATTTTTGCTTCTATCTGATCATTAGAACGGATGACACGTTTAGTGATGCCTTTGTTAAAATGAAATATAAAAATAACTGTGAAAAATACACACGCTCAGGTAATAAATCTATTCTTTGTCTTTTTAAGTTATTTGCTTAAGTGTTATCTGGAACAAGCATAGTGACGGTTGACTTTTGCATCTTGTTCGATCCCCACAGTGTAACTCCCTCTTGTCGACCTGTGTCAAACTAGCCTGGATTTAGTAGCTAATATTAAGTGTACTCTGTTTAGTATGACCTGCATCTAAATACTGAACAAGCTTGTCGCTTCTCAGCTTAAATCGTTCTGAGTATGACGATAAACTACACCCGGCAGCAAGAGATAGGAGGTTGTGAGGAGCGTGGAACCATCTCTTAACTGCTCGTCCCGGGTATGACGATAAACTAAATCCGGCAGCAAGCTCACTGATCGAGAGATAGGTTTTGAGGAGAGTGGAACCACCTCTTAACTGCGGTTGTTCTCAGGTCCACCCGACCTGGCGTGGTAGCACCTGTTAGGGCCCCAGCTATCGGCAAATAGTGAACCCCCCCAAACAAAAATCAACAGTACATTTTCATAATAAAATGACCAACAATACATTTTTATAGCAAAATGCAACACTAAAATGTAAAAATACTTTTTTTTTTATAGCAAAATTACCAATAATACATTTTATGATCTACGATATATATATCTAAAAACATACAAATTACCTGTGGTTGAGAGCATGAAATTATGTACAAAATATTTAGATTTCGGCATTAAATAACCCATAGATGTGTTGATATGCCACCAACATTAAAAAACTATTTCATGACATTAGTCCATGATAATATCCTACAAATTCTTAAACAGTATTCCAAAATATAACTCCAACAAAAACTACAACATAAAACACACAGATCACTGCCTCTTGTAATTATGTTCACACAAACATGTAGATGCACAAAAGCGGAGTATCCTCTACCATGTATTCTCTTGTGAAAGAAGAATAACATATCACATTTTTATTACTTCAAAGCTCCTAAGAAAATTAAATTCGGGCATTAAATTACCCATAAATGCGTTGATATGCCGTTATACAAA